TTTATTCAAGGAAAGGACTAGAATACCCCCGAAATATTTTAATGGTTTAAAATTTAACTTTTTATTTGGGAAGGAATTTGGGGATTTCAGTTATACCTTGCATAGAGCGCAACGAAATGAGTCTGTAGACACGTAGTGGGCTCAAATCCGGGTTGTTTTGAGAGAGATACGATCAAAATAAGTTGAGGGGCAAAATAGTAATTTCCCAGGTCGGATATCTTAAAAACTGATCTCTCATTCTCTCTGGCCGTGCGACCCAGCCCCTTCCCCGATTTTCTTCCTCCAGCTGTGGCTTCTTCAAGCCACCATCACCGCCACATGCCCAGAGGCGGCCCATGGGATGTGCGAGGTGTGCGACTGCACAGGGCCCCCAAAATTTAGGAGCTTCCAAATTTATACCTAGGAAAGAATTGCTATTTTATATTATGCCAAAGAGGAGGCCTAGATTCGTTGGGCCAGCTTAAAAATAAAAACTGAAAAGACAATTCTACCATTCTTCTTAAAAAGTCTAGTCCGTATTTAAACCTAACAAACTAAATGACTCTTTTACCCCTGGCTGTATAAACTATGCGCGATTTGGTCTTGGTTTCTCTTTCATTTTCCTTCGGCCTTGAGGTTTTGGAGCTCTTGTTCTCGTTCTGCCATTGGAGCTTCAATTTGCTGGTAGGTTTTCGTTCGTTTTTCTTCTTTTTTCTGTTTTCTTTTTTCTGCTACGTTTTCGTTCGATTTGCATGAGGAATGAGGCTCAGTTTTGGGTGATTTCTGTTCTCCTTAGTTCGGGTATTAAGAGCTCAGTTTTGTTGCACGATTTTGTGGCGCGATCTTGTGGCGTTCAATACTAAACCCTATCTTCTTCGTTTTGTGATCAAATTTGATTTTGAGCTTATATTTGGTTGTGGAGTTTTGGCAGTCCTAGGTGTTAAGGTATGAGTACTTTAAAACTTGGTTTCGTTTATATCGACTTATATGTTTTCAGAATTTAGTTTTAGTACTTTTATCTAGTTTCATTTTGGTTTCTATTCGAAGTTTTTTAATTTTCTGTCATAAACAGCATCTGTTTGTTTCAGTTTTTTAGCAGAAACTGCATTGTAATTTTTGGTTTCATAAACTGCATTGGAAGTGTTTGGCAATGTTACAACTGCTGATGGACTTGAATTTGTTTAGATTTTCTGTCATAAAATGCATTTGTTTGTTTCAGTTTTTAGCATAAGCTGCATTGCAGTTTATGGTTTCATAAACTTCATTGGAAGTGTATGACAATGTTACAACTGCTCATGGAGTTAAATTTGTTTTGATATTAGTTTTAGTACTTTGAACATGGCTTTCTTTTGGTTTCTATTCAAATTTGAGGATATGTTTTGTCATGAAGTGCATTACTGTTTTCGTTTATTTCAGTTTTTTGACTAGAAACTGCTCATCTACATTATTTACTGATTTGAATTGTTTTCTGTTTTTTTGTATCATAGCCAAGTGCACATATAAGTCGGAAACCATTATCTTTTCAGTTTCATCAAAGTCATCCATGGTTGATGTTTCGAAGACTTTGTGTCTAAGGTTTAGGGGTTTGCAGTTGGGTAGTTTCACGTTACGGTATTCGCTTCCCGGTTATCCGAGTTGTTTACTAGAATCGGATAGCAATTTTCTCGAACCTTGTGGGAGTTATAATGAAGTTTTCATTTTGTACACCAATAAATAAATAAATAAAATAGAAACATCATAACCAAAATAGGATGACAAAGACATCACCCCGATACAAACTAAAAAAAAGTAATAAAAACCAAAATAGAATTACATAAATATCACCCAGAAACAACCCAAAAAATAAAGTGTGAATCCTAGAGAAAAATTATGATGTTCGTCCTTAAATCTAGGTCTCGCTAAAATTATAGAAGAAAAGTAAATTTGTGTTTTTTTTTAAATTATAGAAAAGTAAATATGGGTTATGTTAAAGAAGATAAGAAGAAGAAGAAAATGAGGAAGGAGGAGAGATTCAAAAAACGCATGGGGAAAAGTGAAGAGTAGAATAGAAGTAATATCTAAAAATTGAAGAGGATAATTTTGGGATTTCAGGAAAATTTATTGAAATGTCACTGATTCCTCACCCGCTTTACACAGAAGCGGAAATATAATCACCCCTTTACTTGCTTATCCAAATAGCTGTTAGCGACATCAATTATGCTTGAAAGCCGATTTATTTTTTATTTACCAACCAGGCAGATGGAAGGAAACTTTCAAAATAAGTGATTTTTGCTCCAAATAAGCAATACCAAATGGGCACTTAATAATTTTAGAAAATGAGTCTTAGGTCAATAAACAATTTCAATATTTGGGAATAATAATGTTGATTAAAGGTGTTAGGTTTTTGTCTTGGCCAAAAAAGAAAAGAAAAAGGTGTTACTGTTAGGTTTTTGAACTTATTTTTTCATTACCAATTTTTGCTTGTGTTGAACCCAAATTTGGATTTATTTCGTTACCCTTTTTGCTTGCGTTGAGCTTCAGTTTTTATATGTATTGTTGAGACTTGTATTTAATTTCCATTTCAATATATATTATATGCTCTTGGAAACATAAGAGCAATGGATAAAACTGAAGATTATTGACAGAAGTTCTCATAACATTCATTCAATGCTTTTTGGCTTACATGTTCAACAGAAACAAAAATATGATTGATGCCAACATCACCAAGGACTAGGCACAATCCAAACGGCTGGTGAATAACTAAAGTTATGCGCTCCAGTTATACAATATTGCTTAACAACTTTAGTTTCAAAGTTGAACACTCCTCGAACATGAATATCAATAATATCACCACCATGTGAATACTCGTGATACTCTTCTGCGAAATAAATTGAGTTTTCTTTCAATCTTGGCAATTTCTGCGTGGATAATGACATTGCCGGTTGATTTTTGGCCAAAAATAAAGCACAATCACGCAAGCATTCCACCTTCTCCCACCTTTTAGCAGCAATGTTTAACTTGTAGACATCAAATTTCTCTGTTCCTCTGATATTGTCCCCCAACCATTCCCGCTCCACAAGCAAAAGCTCACCCATTGACTCCACCAACCATTTTTTATCCCCCATCATGGTTCCATGAATACCATTCCGAGCCATGGAAGGTCGAAAATGCATGATCTTCGTGGGATTATTATTATTATAGGTGTCCCCGAAGTCCCAAACTTGAATTGAGTGGTCTCTAGACAGTGCAAATAAATGACCATTGTTGCGGAGTAGGATATCAAAATAATGATCATGTGAACCCTCTAATTCAGTCCATGCAGTAGCGTTTTCTCCTCCTCTGCCGTGTTGATAGAATGCTAGCCTTTTCGGTATGTTCAAGGTCTCATGAATTACC